GATTGATTATTGAATTCATTTTTTTCAAATATAGCTTTAGACCTATTCTTAATCCTAGGTGTTCTATTTCTCAAATTTGAATATTGACTTTGAATCCAATTCAACTTTAAGAAAATATTTTCTGCTATAATATATTTACTGCACTAACACAGTCTCGTCCCCATGTAACACATATTTTCAATAAAGACTGTTTCTACATCCAAAGTATAAAGACTTTTCTACATTCATTAAACCTCTTTGTAATTGATAAGTATGCTGCAACAGATTTTGAAGCCGTTTTATAATATTCAACAATATATTTTACTTAAAATTCTTCCTTCAGTCAATTACTACTCCCTCCGTATTTAAAAGATCCATACGTTAGGTTGTGGTATAAGATTTAAGGGAGAATAGTAGGGCTAGTGAATAGCATAGAAAAAGTAGGAGAGAAGGTGAAAAGGTAGAAAAGGGAGGATAAAAAGTAGAAAAAGTAAGGGTAATTGAGTATTTTTAAAGGAAAAACTTACCAAAAGGGGAAAGTGTGTGGAACTTCAAAATACATCCCAAAATGGAAAGTGTGTGGAACTTTAAAGTACGGAGGGAGAATTAAGAAAGAGATTTGTAGGACATTTTAATTTAATGTTCATTTAGTATATTAATAATGTTTCACCCAACTAAAATACTTTTGTCTTAAGAACATATATGTCAATATTTTTAAATCAATTAACTGGATGCTTTTGTACAAATATGATAAAATCTTTGAACATTTGTACGTTGTTTCAATATTGTGGTTAATCTGTGTATGTTAGATGAACTCAAAAGTAATGACATATAAATTACCACGTTTTTAATTGACAGACAGAGGTTCAATTTTCTGGAAAGCAGCGAGATAGTCACACAGTAGTCGGCTACAATATTCACAAAAGGTGCGTCTAAGATCTCCCTTCTGATGCTCTTTTGACATCTTTGACTCATTTGTTTGTAATCTATTGTATGCCTAATTTGGAATCGGAAAGTTGTATGTGTTTGGATTTGAAAAGTTCTAATCTATTGTATGCCTAATTTGGAGTTGTGTGTGTTTATTGGATTTTATGTTTGTTTTATGCTCCTTTGCGAATCTTAGGATATTTATGACTTCAACAATATTATCTCGAATGGTTTCTTTAGGTTCCACGTTTCCCCTTATGCTTAGCTTAATTAAGATCCATTGATCCAATGCCATTCATGATGCCGGCCTCTTTCATCCAACACCTATTACCCAGTAGATGTATGATTGATCAAAAGTTTGATTCCAAATCTATATCTTAACAGTTGAATGGTATAGCATTTCTGGAAAAAATTAACATTACATACCAATATAAGACCACACAAGTCTAATACAAACACACACTCAATGGATGTAAAATGACATGTGTTTAAAAGGTGAAAATATAAATTTTATGCAACAAGAAAACACCCAAGTGGATCATTTGATTTTTTATTTGAAACCATGTTCAGATGGACCTTCTTCAATGGATGTCTTTTTTCTCTACTGATATTGTATTTTTGCACCCTGCCAAAAAAATGACATAAAGCTAAATGTAGGAGATGGGTGAACATATGGTTACATACAATACATATATGTGCGCAAAATGATATTTGAGAGCAAAACCTCATATGGTTAAACATGAACATTCATGGTAGTGAGAATAACTTACGTTTGAACACCGGAGATGCAAATGATACTTGAGAGCAAAACCTCATACCCAATAGCCTATTTATAACCTTGTTGTGGAGGTTTAGTGCAAAGCAACTAGCTACTATGATATTATTTGGGGACCCCTCATGAAGATGCCCTTTGTTACATGGTTACTGTTTTCTTTTGTTCATTAACAGGAAGAAAGATCCACGAAGCATCATGTGGCTGATGGGACTATAGAGAACATTTATATTTACAATTTAATTCAAACAAATCCTATCTATTCACTTTGTAATTTTTATGTCATTGTGTGTGCAATACACTTGCTTATATAGTGGATAAACTGTTCATGATCGACTAGATTTGACTTCACAATCTTTTATCCAACCATTGAAACTTCTGAATATCTCTTTACTTTTAACACTGAACGCGCATAAAATTATCGAACCATTGAAATCTTCTGAATTTCTTTATTTCCTATTTTCAATTTCTTTTGCAATTTTGAAAGTTATCCCTTGATGTTGACATTTCTGAGCGGGAATACTATTCCCAAAAATCTTTTGCTTTAATAGATTAATAGATTTTATACTTTTTACATGCATATTCATGTAGGTTTATTCACATAAGCCTAACCACCTTGGCTAATCACATGCTTAAACTCTTTTAAACATTATCATGAATACATATAGCATTTCTTTAGGTAATATCATACTTAACCCAATAATTATAAGACATTAAGCTGTCAACTCACCTCGAATGAGCTTTAATAAGTTTCACCCTCTTCGTTGACCTCATGTCAGCGTCGCTGACCATTACTTTCATCCCCGACTCAATCATCATTAGAGGTTAATCCGATTCATTTCTTTCTCTGGCAAGGAGTCTACTCCTCATCTCTCCGTCCAAAAGGTTGAATCCCCAACCCCAAGGCCCCCCACCCCGACTCGACAGGATGGTGGGGGAGTAAATCACGGTGACTCAGTCGGCAAAGCGACAGTAGGCCTTTACCCGTGCGCACCAGAGGGCCAGCCTTATTTCAGGTTCTGAAAACCCCCTTTTGGCCGCTGCGGGATTCGAACCTTGGTCTACGTCCAATTTTTCCCACCGCTCGACCAACTGAGCTACCCGTGCGGGTAATCTACTCCTCATCTCTGACCTTGTTTTCGTAGGTACGTTTGTGGCCACCCTCAGGCTTCCTGACAAACTGTTGCAGGTAACCTCAGTTGATTAGTTTTTCAATTTCTAGCTTGAGATTGAGGCAGATGTATGGTCATTGTAGCGGTGAAACAGGTAGTAAGGGCCACCATTATCCACTGTTTGGACCTCGTTGACTGGGTCACTGGCCACTAAACCCTCCCACTCAGCGTAGTCAAGGATATGGCTGATTGTAAGGGTGGGGGGGGGGGTCATGACCTGAGGGGGAGTGTATTTTGGCCCATACCAAGGACGCTTTCCTTTGTAGCCATCCTGACCTGAGCTCCTTTCCGCGTCATCTCATTGCCTGCCTTCTTTGTTTTGTTGTGGCGTTTGCTGCTGCTGTTTTTGCTTTGGGGGCTTGGAGGCAGTCTCTTGGGCCCTCTTGTGGCTGTGTACGTCCTCCACCTCAACGTATCTCTCACCTCGAAGGAGGGTCCGTGACCAGGCTTCTAGTATAGTCGCCAGCCCGGACGACCTTTTAGAGCAAGGCCAGACGAGTATTGTCGCCAGCCTCATAGACCCTGAAGGCCTCTTCCCTCTAGCGCTCCAGAAATTCGCTAAGAGGCTCATCCTTCATTTGCTTGACATTGAGAAAGTATGAGAAATGCTTCTTCGTCCGGGTCCTCCCTGCAAAATGAGCGAGGAAGCTCATGGCTAACTGTCGCAAAGAGTCAATGGACTCGTCAGGCAGGTAGTTGAATCAGTCATATGCCCCCCCCCCCCCTCTAAAGTGAAGGAGAATATCCTGCACATGTACTCATCGTTTGCGCCCAGTATAAAAATGCTGAACTAGTAGTGAGCGTAATGCTCTTGGGGGTCAGTTTTACCCCCATAGAGTTTGATGTTGGGTCCAAGGTCCTTTATACTTTGATGGTATAGTGAAGGGAGTGCCATATCTTACCCTCATTGTGCCAGGCTCATTGTTTAGCTGAGCCTGAAGTTCATGCACTTGGAGTGCAAATGTCTCTAGTTGAGGATTCTCTGTTGGAGGAGGTGGTGGTGGTGGGCTGTTGGCGGGAATGCTATTGCCACTACTGCTATTGCCACTATTGCCCGCAACTAGTTCACAAGTTGGGTGAGAGCGCGAATCTGCTCCTTCCTCGGGTCCATCTGACGATGTGCCATGGTGGGGAATCTCGATGTTGCTTTGGCAGTGATGATCGCGATTGGCGTGGAGGAGAATGCTGCTGCTGGTGTGAAGGTGAACCCGCCGCTGCCTCGGAAGAGAGGGCGGTTGCTGATGGTGTGAGTGGTCAATCTGGAGGAATGATTGCCCCCTGCTGCTCTTAAGGGCATTGTTGTTGTTGCCGCTGCTGGCGACGATGATGTACATTAGGGTTTGGTGACCCCGATTAACACTCCGGAGATTCACCCCGAAAACATAGTCACCAAACGTGTTCTCATTCAAAGCAAATCTGGTTGATTAAACTTTAAAAAATTTCCCAAAAGACAAATAAATATTTGTACATAGCGCGTCTAAGTGCATCGTTACACTAACGAAGATCACAGGATACATGGCGGCTGTGTTTGACCATCATGCACCCATCAGGCTAACCGCAATCCAACGCCGTCAATAAATCAAATTTCATACTACTTTATACGTATTAATTCAATCAATTCAATTTTTACTGCAATCCAGCATCGTCAATATATTCACTCAGCAAAACTTTATTTATTAAAGTGTTACTTTTACTATTATATCTCATTGTTTTTTCAATTTTTTTGTTGCGAATAATATACGTTTTAAAAGTCAAATATTCTGATTTAAAAATTAATAAATTTGGAGTTTATTTTTTCTTGTTAGTTCAGATCTATTTTTATAAAAAAATTGAAAGGTGTAAAAAGAAATATTTTAACAATGAGATCTTATTTGAATCTATTTCAAAAAAATGTTGGATCTGAAAAATTTGAGATTTAAAAAACTTAATATTTTTTTAAAACTTTATATATGCTATATTAGTGTCAGATCGTAAAAAGTTATGAATTTTGATATATTTTTTATAAAAAATGGAATTCAAATAAAAAAATTATAAAACTTTAAACAAAAATGAGTTTTTAAAATTTAATTGGCCCCATCAAACAATATCCTTTCATGCACCGTTCGAGCTTTGTGAAAAAGCTTACAGATACCCACCCCAATGGTTCTACTATGGGTTGCCGATGTTTTAGGGGTAAAAAGCTCAAAAAAGGCTTTTTCACCCTCATGCACCATAAAAATTTGTACCGTTTACAGGTTGCGAAGGGCTTTAAACCGACCCACGTAGCGACTGGTCACTTGTCGGCCGAATAAAAAATAAATACTGTTTCACATTTTAAAACATTTTTTTTCTCAGACTTATCCGGATCTAGGTCTGTTCCTTCTCCATTCTCCTCGATCTTTCCGCACGCAACATTCCGATCAGGTATACCGGGTTTACGCATGTGATCTTCCCGGTTCCGTTCTGTTCTATACGCGTATTTTCGGTATCGGATCTATTTTATATTTCTTCAATTAATCGGTGGTCTTTGTAATTTTCTGGATTGCCTTCTCCGATTTGGTTTGGGTAGAAAAGTTTAAGTTTGTTTTTCGTTTTCAATTTGACGGAGAAAAATGCAATTCCTTCTTTCATTTCATGAAAATCGCATTCTTTTTGTATTCGGTAATCTGAACATAAAAATTGTATATTCTTTCTCTGTGTGTTCGTAAATTTGAAGGTTTTACACACTCATTCATTTGAGTTCTCCTGTGTGTACGTGTGTCATGTTGTAGACGGGGGCTGCTGCTGGCTCCGATTTATTGTCTTATCGAATTATCGCAGTTTGTTGTTAATAAATGTTGATATTTGAATCATCCGAAAACACCAATTCAAAAGAACATTTCTAAAGGAACCTTCGTTTCCAGGTTTGAGAATCCAACACTAGCTCACGAGAACTGGTTTGTGTCTGCATAGCCGCCATTCGATTATCAACCAAGTTTCATGTCTGAAGTCAACCTTGTGACTCCTACCACTTTTGGTACAATCTTCTGTAGCCTGTACTCTTGTTTATTATTATCCAATTTCTCTTGTAATTTATTTTACATTGATGGAACGTAAAATTCAGGTGGTCAATTAAACTTGTACATTTTGCTCATGCAATGTATAGAATGGATAACATAGTTTTTAGTGGCATCAAGTGGAATAATGTTGAATAATAATACGATGTGATAAAGAACATAGTTAATGTGCTTGAAGTTGCCACGTTGAGGAGTAAATGGGTAATTGATACAATGCTAGTTTATGTATAAAATAGACTTGACATAGTGTTGATTTTCGAATCCCTTCAGATCCCTTTGCTGATGCAAGTGGTGAGAACTCTGATGCGGGAACAAAAGAAGATTATGTGCATGTGCGTATTCAGCAACGGAATGGTAGGAAAAGCTTGACGACTGTGCAGGGGGTGAAAAAACAATTCAGCTATGAAAAAATACTGAAGGACCTCAAGAAAGAATTTTGCTGCAATGGAACTGTCGTTAACGACACTGAATTAGGCCAGGTATGAACAAACCACGCTGTACTAATGTTTGTAGTTATATACTATGTATATAAAGGTTGAGTACATGAGTTTTAAATAGGAAGTCTGAAAGTCTCAACTTAAGACACGGAAAACAGAATAAGATGAGTTAACTACTGAACTTAAGCATCGAGTATTATTTTTAATTGTTAGACCATGTAAAAAAGAAATCGAGAAAGTCAGTATAGGGAGTAATTACTAATGCGCAAAAAATGAACCATTGAACAGATCAAATCGCCAAAAATAAAGATAGGCATGATGGGAATCTTTTGGAAGGCCTGACTTCTAGCATCTCTTTATACACACATATATGTTTGTTCATCAATTGTAACAGTGATCTGTGTATTGCAAAATGAATTTTTATAGGTTATACAGCTTCAAGGTGACCAAAGGAAGAACGTATCTGCCTTCCTTACACAGGTAATTCCTATCTGTAATTGATCACTACACCCGTTTATTAAAAAATGTCCATGTAAAAATGGACATTATTTTATTGTCTACAACCTCATTTTGTAATATGTTGGTTCTAATAAGGTGGTTCCATTTTTCATGCTATAGTTTTGTTGCACATGTTCATACTCTTCTTCAGTTCTTCGCGACTTGTGTGCAAAACTGCATATCATATAAGGAGAGAGCCTTGATGCTTCATTATATTCAATGACCTTGCATTGGATTTGTTTAACGGGTGTGTTTTTAAACCTTGGAAGCAGGCTGGAATTGCGAAGAAGGAAAACATTAAAATCCATGGTTTTTGATCTGGTCGCGGATAACATAATAGCTACCACAAGCAGAAGACTTGTGCTGCCTTATTGTTTCAGTGGTTTAGTAAAAGGACTGATTTTACCTTCTTTGATTATATGTCCTTCCCGATATGCACTTCTATTTCATGGTTGTGACTTCTCATTTTGAGAAAGATTGATTGTTGACTTTGTGTTTGCTTTTGATGTAATTGATGACTAAAGCTACTTGTTGGCAGATTCTCATGTGGAAATATTGTGTTTATTATATGAACACTTGAGATTTTAAATTCCCAGGGCCATCTAAACTGGAATTGTATGCATCACTGGTCCCAATTCCTAGTGTACCCTTTTACCAATATATACTTAAATAAAGAGTGTAAAACATTTTTCTTGTTATAATTTGATATGAATGGAATATATAAATAGGGATGGATGGTGATACACACACATACATGCTTCTACTCTTAGAGTTTTTTTTATATTGATGCCATTTTTGTTGGAAATGTGTTTTTACTCGTATTACTGTACCATTCCTAAGCAAAACCAAATTTTAAAGCCTCAATGCCGTACAGTTGCCTACATAATTTGAACTTTGGATAGGTGCAGACATCTGTCTCACTCTGTGCCCTATCCCAAGTCCAAACGGCCCAAACCCCTAAAAATTGATAATTGCAGTCTGCACGACCGCACGGTCCGCACCTAGCTTTATTCAACCAAAGTTGGTTCATATTCATGTTAAAAAGGAGTTGAAGAGAGCCCCCTAGTACATGTTAAAAAGCAAAATGATCACCAAATTGGTTGTATTTCTTTGTTATGAAGTTGTAGTTGGTCTATGCAATTTTTGAGGCTACGTAGTATTTCCAATTTTCCATAGCCCCTTAGTACATGGGTAAGGTTGGTTACATCCAAGTATCTAACCTCTCTTGCTCTTTGATTACATGGGTAAGGTTGGTTACATCCAAGTATCTAACCTCTCTTGCTCTTTGATTGCGTACATGAAGTGGTGGACTCGGTTCGGGCCGGGCTGGGCCTGGTTCGGGCCTAGAACCGGCCGGGCCTCGGTTCACGGAAGGCAGGCCCGAAACCGGCCCGGATAACCCCGGGTCCGGTTCGGTTCGGGTCACCCGCCTGGTTCACGGGCCGGTCCGCCCGCCGGGCCGGCCCTTTTAATTTTTTTTTATTATATATTATATTATTAGAATAATTCTTATTACAATTACAATATATTATATTCAAATTCAAGTGTATTTATTTCAAATAAGAAGTACAATTGAGAATTAGGATGAATTTAAAAAATGTAATACATTTTGTAATAAAAAATCTATCGGAATCTCTGCCTTCGGTTGTTTCCTCCATAAAGTGGCGGGTGGGAGTGATGATAATTTCTTGAATTCTTCGTTGGGCCTTCAACCAATCGTGAAAGCAAACTAGTGTCTCAAGAGAGTTCGGGCTCAACCTCGTTCTATAATCGGTTAGGACGTTGCCGGCCGCACTAAATTCTTGTTCCACGGCAACAGTTGATATCGGCATTGCTAGCACTTGCTTAGCCATCTTTGATAAAATCAGGAATGTTCTTTCATTTTCCTTCCACCACTTAAGAACGTCAAAGTCATCACCAACTTCATAATCAACATTCAATGTTAGATACAAAGAAAGCTCGTTACTTGAGCTTTGTTCAGTAGCGGGAGTTGCTCTACTTTTTTTCAAAAGAGAACCAAAAGCGGATTTCAAAAGTGATTTTCCTTTAGATGAAGAAGATGTTCATTACCATATTGTGCATGAAATTCATTATACAATTGATGAAATAAATTACTAACCTCATTGAATTCTTGTTTAGGGTCGATGAGATTATCATCGAACTCTTGAGTTGGAAAAAAAGAAGCATAATAGTAATCTATACAATTTGCCAAGTAAGCAAGTTTATAGCGAGGATCAAGAACAAATGCAATACCATATATATGCGGAATATGTGAATAATATTTTAAAAACTTTTGTTTCATGAAATCACAAAAATAACTAACGTAAGTGGCTTCAGAAAATTCACAAAAAGCGCCGGCGAGATTAACAACTTCAACAAAAAATTCATTTGCGGTAGGTTTATAAACATGACTAAAAGTTAGAGTTGCGTTATTAAAATATGCCAAAACATTAACAATTTTTTCATAAGTGTCGATGTCAGCCGGGTTTATAATATAGTTACAAGGTTGTCTTAAAAAAGTTGGAAAATGATCTTTATATCTCATAAGTATTTGAATTAAATTATAAGTACTATTCCAACGAATAGACAAATCTTTAGAAAAAGCACAATAATCGACACGTCTATCCTTCAAATATTGCCGCCATTGCATTTTTAGTGGAGTGCTAGCCCAAATCAATTTAATTCCCCCCTTCACTACCACCAAAGCATTTCCTAATGCCGCTAAGCCATCTTGTACACACAAATTTAGAATATGACATGCACAACGTTGATGAAAAAACCTACACATCAATGTAGAAGCACCACACAATTCACGTAATCTAGGTATAGCAGCAGTATTATTACTAGCATTATCAAAACCTACAGCAAACACCTTATCAATCAAATTATACTCAATTAAATTACGTTCAATGAGAATATAAATATTATCAGCAGTGTGACGATCATTGAATTCACGAAAAGCAAGAACACGTTTATGCATATTCCAATCATCATCAATATAATGTGCAGTAAGACCCAAATAATATAAATGATGATACGTATCCTCCCATATATCGCTACAAATACTAACACGTCCATCAAAGTTTGCGAAAAATATTTGTAATTTTTCTTTTTCCAAGTTATATTGCCTTATAACTTCTTTTTTAATCGTTTTGCGACTATAATTTCTAAATTGAGGATTTAAAGTACCTTGAGCATAATCTCTTAAAACAAGACTTTCGGAAAAAATATAGGGTAAATTTTCTTCAACAATTAAATGAGACATACCAGTCAAATGTTTTTTATCATCATAGGAAAAATTACCAAAGGGTTGAGAATTTGCAAACCTCGATATTTGTGTTTGCTTCCCCTTGCCTTTGTCTATTTTCGCATACTCCACAAAGTGGGCGGACTGAAGATGCCTTTTGAGACTCCCGTATCCGTCAGAAGTTCCCAAGCTAAACTCTTTCTTGCAATGATTGTGATGGATTATAGGTATCCAAGTATATTAAATGGAGAGATTGAGCTAGATAATTGGAGAACATGAATAGTAGAAATGATATTGTGTATGAATTATGAGTTAGGGTTACAAATGGCTCCAAAAGGAGTATAAATAGGGAAATAATGGGCCGGGCCGCTAATATGGGCCCGGTAGCCCAACTACACAAAAGACTAATCTAGTACATAGTTACATACAAATGGCATATAAGCAGTACAATAATACAAATGATATCCGTAAGATGTGTGTGGGCCGCTGTCCGGGCCCAATAGTCGTGAGACCTGGGGGTCCGAGTCTATATACTCTATCAGGAGTCCCCCACTCTCTGAGTCGAGAGTATTCGAGGCGAAAGAGAGTAGAAATGTGTGCTGATCTGTCGCCGTCTGGTGAGTAAACTTCATGAACAAAAATTTGAATTTCTGCTTCTTTGGTTAACGGAGGCGCTAAGTCCCCCGCTCTTCCAGTCCCCCACTCCTTGAGGCGAGTGTAACGAGGTGAAGAGGAGTAGAGTAATGCGTGTCGGATGATGTCTTCAACAGGGGGCCGAGGGTTGACACCTTTTGATCCACGATGGGGAGATGCCTCGTTAAAAACCTCATTAGGAAAAACCCTGTGGGAAAAAATCCTAATGAGGGAAAAAGAGTACACCGGATGCCCCCAAAATGAAACAAAAGGTGCGAGCCCTTCGGCCTGGAGATGGAGCTGCAGTGGTGCCCGTCTGCTGGATGGTCGAGGCCGATCTCTAGATGTGGGTAGCTCATCATGATCAGTAGTCCTAGTCATCAAATAAAGATGACTAAGGGATGGGTCGAGCGACCGTCCACAATATGATGTCTGGTTCATCAAATAAAGATGACCAGAACGTAAGGCCGATGGGCCGAGAGGCCTGTACGAGAGCTCCACGTTGTCGCATAAGGACGACGAGGCGATGCATGGCCGAGGGACCTGCATAGAGCTCCACGTCGTCAAATAAAGACGATTGGGCGATGTGTGCGGCCGAGGGGCCTGCATAAGAGCTCCACGTCGTCAAATAAAGACGACGAGGCGATGGTGTGGCTGAGGGGCCTGCATAAGAGCTCCACGTCGTCAAATAAAGACGACGGGGCGATGGTGCGGCCAAGGGGCCTGCATAAGAGCTCCACGTCGTCAAATAAAGACGACGGGGTGATGGTGCGGTCGAGGGGCCTGCATAAGAGCTCCACGTCGTCAAATAAAGACGACGGGGCGATGGTGCGGCCGAGGGGCCTGTATAAGAGCTCCACATCGTCAAATAAAGACGACGGGGCGATGGTGCGGCCGAGGGGCCTGCATAAGAGCTCCACGTCGTCAAATAAAGACGACAGGGCGATGGTGCGGCCGAGGGGCCTGCATAAGAGCTCCACGTCGTCAAATAAAGACGACGGGGTGATGTATGGCCGAGAGAGGCCTATATGAGAGCTCCACGTCATCAAATAAAGATGACGGGGCGACGTATGGCCGTGAGGCCTACATGAGAGCCCCACATCATCAAATAAAGATGACGGGGTGATATATGGCTCAGAGGCCTATATGCGAGCGCCATGTCATCAAATAAAGATGACGGAGCGAGATATGGCCGATGGGCCTGTAAATGAGCTTCGCGTCATCAAATAAAGATGACGAGGCGATATATGCCCGATGGGCCTGCAACTGAGCTTCGCGTCATCAAATAAAGATGACGGAGCAAGATGTGGCTCAGAGGCCTACAAATGAGTTCCTCGTCATCAAATAAAGATGACAGAACGATATATGGCCGATGGTCCTGTAGATGAGCTCTCCGTCATTAAATAAAGATGACTGAGCGATATATGGCCGATGGTCCTGTAGATGAGCTCTCCGTCATTAAATAAAGATGACAGAGCGATATATGGCTGAACTCTGGGCTCCTTTAGCCTTTCGGCCGGAGACCGCAAGATGTTCGCTATATCTGAATAGGGGGACGAGGCGGTGGACGCCTGTCTGGATATGAGGACGACGACGCTGATGAGTCGGTCCGAATATGAGGACGACAGCGCTGACGAACCGGTCCGAATATGGGGACGATGGCGCTGGTGAGCCGGTCCGAATATGGGGACGAGGCGATGATAAGCCATGCGTCATATGAAGGCGACGGTCACCATCCAGGAAGGGAATGGCGAGCCTTGTCGCTAGATAAGGACTTCGGCGCTGGGGCCGGTCCAAATGTGAGGACGAGGCGATGATGAGCCGTGCGTCATATAGGGGCGACGGTCACCGTCCGGG